GAGTTTTATGAACCCGCAGGGAGCATCCCCTAGGAGTATTTTGATTTTCCTCTCTAAGAACAGAGACAAGGCTCTGGAAATCTCTTCTAGTTTAGCCCTCAAATGTGGCAGGGAGGGGGGAGGGCTGGAGATGGGGAAGAGAAATGAATCCTCTGGATTCAAACCCCATCTCCGCTCTCTGCTGTGGCCTGTGTAAAATGGAGAATCATTGACTCCAGTTCTGGGGAGAGTTTGAATCCATCCCCTCCCTTTGCTTGCGATGGGAAAAATATGGTTTTCAAATAGATAAATAGATAGGTAGATAGATAGATAGATAGATAGATAGATAGATAGATAGATAGATAGATAGATAGATAGATAGACGGACAGACAGACAGACAGACAGACAGACAGACCGCCCGCCCAACAGGAAAAATATGGAGAAGTACCACTCTGCCAATATGATAAAAAAAGCTTATGGATCTTGGAGCCATGTCAGAGAATATGATAAAATTTATCATACAGATAAGAATAAAACCAATAAAGCCTCATCACGGTAATAGTACCAAGGAAGGCGGAAAAATATAATAAACAGTCACATCAAATTGATCTTCTTCCTAATGCTGACACGTTTCTACCCAAAAGCTCTCTAACAGAGAGGGCAATCCATCACTCCTGCCAGAGACGTTGACAGCGTCTCAGTGTTGTTTGGCTTTCAGAGCGGTTCTGACGCTGGCGGTCAGAAGGGAACACCAACAGCCCCGTAGGACCTACGTGGAACCTCCCTGGGCAGTGGCTGTCTATCTCAGAATGCCAAATGCCAGGCATAAACGGGGAAAGGCGATGCAGTTGCTGGGCTGGAAGGAATTTTTCGGACGGGATGAGCTATCAGCCGGTGGGACAGACTGCCCCGTGATGTCTGTGAAGGTCTGGCAGCTAGAGGTCTTCTGGATGGTCATCTGTGGAATATGCTCTAGGGCAGGGTTCCTCAACCTCAGCAACTTTAAGATGGGTGGACTTCAACTCCCAGAATTCCCCAGCCAGCCGGCATTGTAACAACAAAATCATCAATTCCGATATGATTTGGGGGGAGCAGTGGTGTTGAAGCACACGTAAGAATTATTGACCTTTTAGGTCTGCTTGGGCCTGGATTTGTGGAGGGCAAGTTTACAATTAGGTATTGGCAAGAGGGGTTTAGAGGGGCCAAGGATGATGGGAACAGTAGTCCAACGGTAGTCCAACACACCTGGAAGCATCAAGATGGGGAAGAGTGGAGCGTGGGATAAGCAACCTGATCCTCAGGGGCTGGGCTAAAGCCATCCCCTCCATTTCTTGGTCATGTTGGCCAAGGATGATGGAAGTGGTGGTAGTCCAAGGGCCATAGACACCATCAGCTTTCGTGTGTCTGCAATGCTGTCTCCTGCTGAGAAATTGGGCTGCTGAGTTTTAGAAAGCAAAAACTGCCCTCTGCCCCTGGATGTTCAGTGGATTTTAATACTGCTCAGGGTTGTTTTCCCTTTATGGAACGAAAAATGGGCATTATACTGAACCTGCTAGAAAAGCAGTTTATAAATAATTAAAATGGGAGTAAATTTGACCAAACACAGTGGAATCATCATCATCATCGTCATCATCATCCTGTGTTCAGTGAACTTTACTCCCAGGACACAATGCACAAGATTGTACTCTCCATCTTTAATTTAATTTGTACAGTGCCTGGCATAATATTAATAATCCTATCATTGCATTTATATTAGGCGCTGACTCTTCCCATCAAAATGCAGATGTATTGGACAGCTGCTTACAACATGCTGGAGCAGTTTTGCGAAGCTTATTTCACTGTGGCATATTAGTATAAAAGAAGTGGATTATCTGTCTTTTTGGGGGAAAAAACCTTCAACATACCATGAGCGACGTCTCCAAATGTGAGGTCGCAGACACAATTGGCTTTATTGCAAATACCTCGCAGGTGACGCCTCCAGAGGGTCCCTTTTTCCGCTGGCAAATTCCTACACCGTTTTAGTAATTACCCAGGTTCTGAATAATTCAGCAATAATTTTGTATAACAAACGAAGTTTCACATTCTTTAATTACAGCAGTGAAGTGCTGGAAAGCATGTGTGCATGTGTGCGCGTGCGTGCTAAATTATTCATCACTTATCATCTCCACGAGCAACTATTAAGACAGATTACTCAGGGGACAAACCAACCTGTTTTGGGGAACGTGTTAAATTATTGATTTTCCACTGATTTATCTCTTCTTAAGAAATCACAACACAGCTTAGTCCTTTTTCCCCTTCTCCAAAAAGAAAATCTTGGTGCCCATTTAATAATGTCTTCCAACCAAACATAAATAACCTCTTTTGCTTGAAAGCTGAAATCTAGCAATCAAAGGAGATTAGCCCAACTTCCCCACCCTTCAAAGACTAAGCAGGGACTGCTTAATGCTTTTGCACCAAATATGTACATAGGTTTCTTTTCTTCCTTCTGCCAGCCATCTCAATGAAACCTTCATTAACCAGGGCAGTCTACCTTTCAAGACAATGCCAGGAGCAAACCAGGAGGGGAAGCTATTGCTTTTATACCCTCCCAACCAGATTTGGGGAAGATTCTGCCCAAATCTTTGAGACTATTCCAAGGAAATGATTATTATTTACCATATATATATCATTCATTCCAAGCAGCAGGTGTGCCATTTTGTGTCATTTCCTTTTTTTTTTTTAATGGATTCATGATATTCACATTTCTGCTTAAAAAAACAATAATGAGGCGCCTTAAAGACTTGGAGATGTTGAAAGGGATGTGCTAAAATGCTAATTTCCTTGGACAAATGCCCCAACGCCCCAGAAAGCCATTTCTTTCTCTCCCTAAATGACAGGGGAGTGGAAGGGACTAAGGAACCCTTTCTCTGTGCTTATGCAAAATGGTCAAAGAGATCATCATTCCCGTTCCAATGGCCTTTGGAGCAAAAACGCAGCTGGGCCACCTCTGGGCTTGGACTGAGGGCCCGGTTACCACTAGATGGCAATGTGGGGCTATCGATCGCAGCAAGACACTCCCCAGATCGATGCTTCTGAAAAATGGGGGGTCTCTGGGTTTTGTTTGCTGTTCTCTGTTAATAAAAGACCAGGGGGGGGGGGAAATGGAGATGGGCTCCCCCCTTGATTTAAATTTTGGTTCTGCCTTTCATTCAAGAGGGGGGCCCATCTCCATTTCCCCCCCCCCCGGTTTTTTTTTTCAAGATAAACACCAACAAAAACCCTAGACCCCCCCTCTTTTAATAAAACCAACTTGCGGGGGGGTTGCCTGCGGTCTATGCT